AAACTAATAAAATTTAAAAAAATTAAAAAATAAAAAAAATTTTAAAAAAAAAGTTGCAAATAGAGAAACCATTTGACCCAGCAATTCCATTACTGGGAATATACCTCAAGACCATAACTGACATTCAAACTGATCTATGCACACCCATTTTTATTGCAGCTTTGTTCACAATAGCAAGGAGTTGGAAACAACCTAAGTGCCCATTAACAAACAAATGGATAGAGAAGCTGTGGTATATTCACACAATGGAATAGTATCCTGCATTGAAAAACAAGGAACTCATGCAATATTATGCAAAATGGGTGACCCTGGAGGACATTATCCTGAGTGAAGTATCCCAGTCACAAAGGGACAAATACTGCATGGTGCCACTGCTGCAAAATACGACTGAACTTGGGGTTGAGGAGAGACTGAGAAAGATGGGTTCAATAATGTATACTGCATTAAAACAGATCAGCGAGAAAACTGTTTAAAAGGAATGTGTGATTAGGTATTTTTGTCATGCCAGGAGTCTAAAGCGAAGGCTACATGGTGGAGTGGACCTGGGGGAGGGTCTGTAAAACAATGAAAGAATTTTACTTTTCGAAGAGGGTAGTGTTCTGGTGGGGAGGGTTGAGAGGAAAGAAATGTGCAACAGTGAATGAATGGAAATCCAAAGTCTCTGTAAATTTTTACTGAAATTAATAATAAATTTAAATTGAAAAAAATTTATGTTAGAGTAAGGAAGACAATGGATTTATAACTCATGCTAATAACACTATATCATGGCATGGAGGAGGAATAGTGCAACTATAGCCACATTTACAATAATATTCTTCTTACCAAAAAAATTTATGGTAAATAGGAACTGCTTTAGAACATGTATCTCTGGACTGGAAATGATCATATTGATAATATTTCTAGCCTTAAACTTAAAAGACTATACTGTTCAAAATTATTTGTTATATATTTGTTTAAATTTTTCCCTCTTTGAACAACTGGGATCTAGAGGGAAGAGAAAAGACCAGAGAATGGCCAAAATTATTGGGGCAGCTATTGCTGCCAGTTTAGGGCCTTTGTTAGGAAAATGAAGTCTTATTCATAAACAATGCCACCCAAAGGTAATAAAGGAGGTCAGAATTGCTTCCACTGTGGAAAGCTGGGCCACTTCAGTAGACAGTGTCACAGACAAGAGCCACAGATAGGCAAGGGAGTAGAGAGGAAGCTCCCACTCACTTGCTTCAAGTGTGTATGTGAAGGACACCTGGCATGGGCATCCCACATCAGGTCCTCATGGCTGACAGGACTGACAGGCCCCAGCTCCCAGGTGGAAACAAAGGAGGACGCTTCAAGAAATCAGATCCTTCCAGAAGAGCCTTGGATGAGCATTAACATTACTGGTAAGTATATTTATTTTCTTCTGGACACAGAGCTTATTATTTGGTCCTAAAAGCCTTCTGCAGTCCCAACTCTTCTCACTATTTCTTAGTTGTTGGAATTGATGGAAAACTCATAAGCAGTTCCTTATTTCACCTCTGTCTTGCATGTGGACTTCCGAGCTATAAAACAACCCAGTGGTAGATGGAATTTGCTCCAGGACTTAAGAACAATAAATGACATCGCTGAGCCGCTACATCTTGTGGTTCCTAACCTTCACAGTATAATAGACAAAGTGCTAGTCAATAAGCCTTTTATTTTAACAACTACCTTCCCTCTGTAACTTGATTTGTGCCACTGTTAGAACCTCTACTTGGAACATTATTGCTTTTAATTTTTGTGTCATGTACTTTTAACTTGTTAGTCAAATTTGTGTATGGCTAAGCCCAATTGATATAGTGCATCTAAATTCCAAAATCAATCTCAATAGTCTACGTGTTTCCTATTGTCAAAGGGGCCCTTTAGAGTAGTGAGAGAAGATCTCCACCCTGAAACATACAGCATCCCTTTTCAGCAGGAAGTAGCTAAGAAAATACGCCCTCCCCTTTTCCTTATGAATCAGGATGAAATCTCCCTCAAGGAGGAGTGATAGGGAATGGCAAAGGACACACTGACAAAGGAGATTAATCAGAACTGACAAGCACTGTGGCAATTGGACAATTAAAACAAACTTTCAAAGGGGGGGAAGTGTGCATGAGGGCTGTAATATCTCTTCATACTTATTCACCCTATATGATATGTACACCATTAGAGAATCTGGACTTTATAACAAAGAATGTGGCATCAGGATCAGAGGACGAACCATCAAAAACCTCCATTATACAGATCACACACTTTGCTTGCTGAAAATTAGGTAGACTTGAATGCTTCCTATGGAAGACCAAAGGCTCCAGCCTTTAATATGAACTACATCTCAACATCAGGAAAACAAAAGTCCTAACCACTGGACCAGTAAGCAACATTCATGATAGAGAAAAGACTGACGCCATCAACAATTTCATCTTGCTTAGATCCACAATTAACACTCTTGGTACCAGCAGTCAAGAAATCAAAAGATGCTCTTTTCTGATTACTGCAGTGCTTGGAACCATGAGCAGCAAAGTCTCTCATGACATCCTCCACAACGCGATGCAAGAAGTCCTGCACAGGAACTAGCAAAAATGGAGAAAGCTTTTGGAAACAGTGGAACTGCAGATCTATCTGAAGAACTATGACCCTCAGAAAGACAAACGTTCCTTTGGGACCTTCAGGCTTAAGTCTAACCAGGCCCCAAGTTCTCTGTGTGTGTTCCTGGGGATCAGTAGCACAGCAATAAAGGCAAACCTGTCGATAATGAAATGCTGAAGAAATTCAACAAAAAAAAATAAGCTGGTCAAAAAGCTGGCCGCGAAGTAAGATGTCGTTTTGGCCTCTGAATTCCTGATCAAGCCGATCCTAAGAATTCTGGATCTAGGCCTGAATAAGGTTGGCAAGTCCCCCTTTTCTGCTTACCCACATGGTGGCAAAAGTAGATGAGGTAAAGTCAACCATCAAATTCCAAATGAAACAGGTACTGTGTGTGGCAATCAATGGCTGTTAGCCAAGTGAAGATGACAGAGGATAAACTTATTTATAGTATCCACCTTTCAACTTTCTGATTTCACTGCTAAAGAAAAACAGGCAGAATGTTCAAGCTATATACATCAAGAACACCATGGGCAAACAACAGCATTTGTACTAAGTTATGGCTCAATAAATCTTACTGTTACTACTACCACAGGAAAAAAAAAAGACGTAATCAAAAGACTTGTTTGCATTAGGAAAGTATTGCATTGTCAAGGACCTCTCCAAGGTGCTGAGGAGCAATGATGTCAGTTTAACGTGCACCTGATTCAAGTCATTATCCTTTCAATTACTTCTTATGCACCTGAAAGGTGGACAATGAATAGGAATGACAGAGGAAAAATTGATGGTTTTTAGTTGTAGTGTTGGAGAAGAGTAATGAATATTCCACAAACTGCTTAAAGAACAAATATGTCTTAGGAGAAAGTGTAACCAGAGTGCTTCTTGGAGGTGAAGTTTCATCTCATAGAAAATCATGCTTAGATAGGTCAGTGAAGGAGAGTGGATTTTGTCAACAAGATGGATTGACACAAACTATAAAAATGGGCTCAAACAGATCAGAGATTAAAGGATGGCACAAGATAGGGCAAGGTTCAAACCTACTGTTCATAGGTATGGCAACATGATATGTTAATGAACTTGACAGAAGCTCGCAGTAAAACTTGTTTTATTAACTAATAAAAATGTGGCCAGTTTTAATTTTAAAATAAAATGGATCTTCACTTTAAAGATGTGGAAAATGGACATTTTGGAACAGATAAAAGTTACTGTTTCAGTCTCCTTCAACATTTTCTTATCTTGAGGTCTTTTTCCAAGTCCTTACAAGGAACATACTGCCCCGTATCTTGTCAAGGCCTTTTTTCTTCTTCAAAATCATCTCTTAAAAATCTTCCTTTAAGCAGAAAATTTCCCTTTAAGTACAATCATCCCTTATTCACAATGTTCCCTACTTTTACATTTGTGTTTTTCAGAGGAAATAACAATCATATAACCAATTAAATATCTTTACAATGCAACACAGCACCATCCTACTTAAAGAGTGTGGGCTGCACAGCCTGGATATAACATGGTGAAAGGTTGACTCCTTCAACCTTTGTGGCAGAGACCACTGTATTTTTAAACAAATATGTGGAGGGGAAAAAAATATTTTTTCCTTACCTGGCTTCTAACAACAGTGGAGTAGAAACCCATTTTGTCATCAGAGACGTCGTAATGGCTTTGGAATCCGCCTTTACTGCAGACAGCAGCCACAGTCCAGTGAGCATGATCACAAGCATCATTTTATAACAAAACCCTAAAAAGGAAATTTTTTAAAAGTTTGGCTACAAGAAAATGTTTACACCTGAGTCATAGTACTGGTGACACAAAATAAATGTAAGCTACAATGACAGAATGCTTCTGAAATATGACAAGAAATATGCTTTGTTTCAGTTCACTCTAAAGAACTTTTTCTATCTCAAAGTTTGTGGCAGCCCTGCACTGAACAAGTTTATTGGGCCATTTTCCAAAAGCCTGTGCTCACTTCATGTCTCTGTGTCACATTTTCCCAACATTCCCAATTTTTTCACATGCTGCCACACTTGTATTTATATGTACTGGAAAACAAAAACAAACAAAACAAAAAAAAAATCATGCAATTCACTCTATTGCCACACTCATTTTATTGCAGTGGTCTGAAATTATCCTGATTATCTCTGATCTGACTTTCATACCAGAAGTGTATGCCTATTACTTAATCAGAAGCCCCAAGGCGAGAAATAAACTCTTAAGACCACAGAAGTCCACATTTAAATTCAGCAAATTTAAATGAGAACTAAAGAAGGGATATGAATCAATAGGAAGAAGTAAACTTTACTTATTTTCTAAATAATGGAAAATGTTCTAAATATTAGATAATACCATGGTTTGGATATGATCTGTGAGCAAACTCAAAGGTAGAAGGAGTGCTTGCTAACAATGAGAAGAGCTGGTATCACATTGCTTGGTGTCTCAATTTCCTCATTTTGTGGATTGAAAGAATATTCTGAGGACCCATGGAGTTCTATGTGTTTTGAGTCTTATTTTTTATTTCATCTGTTTCAGCTTTACTTCCTTTTTTATTTTATAAAGTATGGTTTTAGATAGTCTGTTCTACTACCAATTACGTGGTGGTGGTAGTGGTGGTTGTTAGGTGCTATCGAGTACAGCTTATACCGACTCAGTGAGTAACAGACTGGAACTCTGTCCTCTGTGCTATCCTCATCTTCTCTACCACATTTGAGCCCAACACTGTAGTCACTGTCTCAATCTATCTAGTTAATGGTCTTTCTCTTTTTGTTTTTTAAATAAAATTTTATTTTAAATATGATTTTAACAAACCTTTACAATGAAGTTAGATTTTCATTCATTCATTGTTGCACATTTTACCCCCTCCCCCAGTTTACTTTTTTTTCAATTCATTTATTGTTGCACAATTACCTATCTCCTCCACCCCCAGTCCCCTTGGCAATGATATATCTCTTATTCTGGGGGTCTTTATCTCTTTCACTGATCCTCCACCTTTCCAAGTATGAGGTCCTTCTCCAAGGAATAGCCTCTCCTAACATGTCCAAAGTATGAGATGAAGCTTTGCCATCTTTGCATCCAAGGACTATTCTGGCTGCATCTTCTCCAAGAAGATGTTCATATGGCAGTCCATTGTATATTCAGTGCTCTTCTCCAACATCACAACTCAAAATCAGCAAGTCTTCTTCCATCGTTATTCACTGTCGAGTTCTCAGATGCATAGCAAATGACTGAAAACACCATGGACTGAATCAGGCACCTTAGTATTCAAACTGACATCACTGCTCTTCATATTTTAGAGAGGTCCCTGAGAGCAGATTTGCCCAAAGCAATGTGTCTCTTGACCTCCTGACTGCTGTTATCGAGGGTGTTGATTGTGGATTTAAGCAAGATGGAATCATAAGATACTTCAATCCTTTCTCCCTCTATCATAATGTTGCCTTTTGGCCCAGTGGTAAGCATCTTTGTTTTCATCATGTTGAGATGTAATCCTTATTGAAGGCTGTTATATTCTTTGATCTTCTTCAGCAAGCAAGGCTGTGTCATCTGCATAAAAAAGGTGGTTGATTTCTATTCAGTATTATATTGGAAGTACTTGGTAGGGCAATACGACAAAAAGAACAAAAGAAGGAAATATAAGGTATCCAGATCAGCAAAGAGATATGCAGATGATGTCAGTGTATACAGAAAACCCCAAAGACTCAATAAAAAAACTGTTAGGGCTAGTAGTCCAATTGACAGAGTGGCAGGCTATAAAATCAATATTCAAAAATCAGTGGGATTCCTATATAGTAACAAAAAGAACTCAGAAGGAAATCAAGAAAGCAATACCATTTACAATAGCCAACCACAAATTGAGATAATAGAAAGTGAACCTAACTAAAGATACAAAAAACCTACACAAGTACAGAACATTTCTGGAAGACACAATAAAAGACCTAAAAAATGGAAAAATGTGCCCTGTTTATGGATAGGAAAACTTGATACTGTGAAAATGACAATACTACCAAAAGCAATGTACACATTCAATGCAATCCTAATATAGATACCAAATTCATTTTCTAGGAGGTCAAGAGAGAAACTGTCAAGTTTATTTAGAAAGAAACCCCAAATAAGCAAAGCACTTCTTAAAAACAAAAATGAAGTGGGAGGTATAACACTCCCTGACCTCAAAATCTATTACACAGCAGTAGTAACCAACAGCATAGTACTTGTATGACAACAGGCAAATAGACCAATGGAACGTAACTGAGAACCCAGAAATGGACCTAGCTATCTATGGTAAACTGATATTCAATAAAGAAATAAAACCTATCAAATGGGGAAATGGCTAGCAAAACTGGACTGCTAACTGTAGAAAGATAAAATGGATCTACATCTTATACCATACACAAAAATCAACTCATGGTGGAACAGAGACCTGGGAGTAAAGCCTAAAAATGCGTAATCTAGAGAAGATAAAATTGACGAATGGGATCTTCAAAAGATTAAATACCTGTGTGCATCAAAAACATTTTCCAACAGAGTGAAAAGAAAATCTACTGACTGGGGGAAAACATTTGGCAATACAATTTCAGACTAGGGTCTCCTATAAAAAGTTTACAGAATCCTACAGGGCCTCCAAAAGAAAAAGACTGAGAACACAATTACAAAATGGGGGAAAGACATAGAAAATTTTTACAGAGAAAGATATTCGGATGGCCAGCAGACACAGGAAGAAATACTCAAAATCACTGGCAATAAAAGAGATGCAAATCAAAACCACAATGAGATACCATCTCACTCCAGTAGCAGTGGCAAAATTTAAAAGGACAACAAGTATTAAATGTGGAGAGGATGTAGCAAGATAGGAACTCTCATACACTACTGGTGGGACTGTAAAAAGATACAACCCCTCTGGAAGGAAGTTTGGCACTTCCTCAAAAAGTTGAACACAGAAATTCCGTATGACCCAGCTATTCCACTGCTTGGAATGTACCTCTAGAGAATAAGAACTGAGGTACAGAGACGTGGACACCAGGTTCATAGCAGCGTTAATCACCATCGTGAGAACATGGAAACAGTCCAAATGTTCAATGACAAATGGATTGAGAAATTATGGTATATTCACTCAATGGAATATTATGCAGCATAAAGGAGCAATGATTTCGTAAATTACTACATATCTTGGGAGGGACTGGAGAACATTATGCTAAGTGAACTAACTCAGTCTGTCCCATGAGGACAAATAGTATATAAGACCATTATTATAGAATAAGTATGAGGATCCAAGTGGGGGAGGGTAAGAGCAGAGAAGGGAGGAAGGGGAGAGGTTAATCATAGGGTCCCAGAATTTGAAGGGGGGGGGGTGAAAACAATGGAAAAGATCCAGTGTGAAACACAACATATCTGAACTTTGTCAATAAACCAGTACAATTTTTTTGTTAAAGGGGAGGATTTAAAACCCGCACTAATTAACAAGGAACCAAAAAACCCCAAATTTAAAAAGGTAACTGGTGTTAGTAAAAAAAGAGTGGTCTTCCAATCCTGATACCATGTTCCTCTTCAGAGTCCAGCTTCATGAATTATAGTCTCAGCAAACAGACAGAATGGGTATGGAAAAGGATAAAACCCTGATGCACACCATTTCTGATGTTAATCCATGCCGGATTCCTTATTCTGTTGAGACAACTGTTTCTTGAGATAGGTACAAATTTTGCATTAACACTGAGTGCTCTGGGATTCCTATTCTTTTCAATATTAACCATAAGTTTTTTGTGATCCACTGTCAAATGCCTTTACAAAGTCAATAAATACAGACAGACATTCTTCTGATTTCAGCCAGGAACCACTTGACATGCCTGGTTCCATGATCTCCCCTATATCCAGCTTGAATTTCTAGAAGTTCCATGTCTAAGTACTATTCTAACCATTCTTTAATGATCTGCAGCAATATTTTGCTTGAATGTGATATTAATGATACTGTTCAATAATTTCCACATTCTGCTGTATCACCTTTCTTGGAAATGGAAGTAATATTGATCTCTTCCAGTCAGTAGGCCAGGCAAGTATCCTCCAAATTTCTTGGCACAGGCTGGTGAGCACGTCCAGAGTCCATCTGTTAGCTAAAACATGTCAACCAGTAACCCATCTATTTCTGGGGCCTTATTTTTTTTTTTTTGCCAGTGTCTTCAATGCACTTTGAACTTCTTTGTTACCCTTGGCTCTTGTTTATGTGGTTACTTGGTAAAATATTTGTTTCAACCAATTATTTTTGGTACAGTGATTCCATGCATTCCATTTTCTCTTGATTACTCAAGATTTTGTCTACTGTTTCTCGCTGCATGGCAAAAAGCATCACTGCCTTTGCCTAGCCTCTCAATAAAAATCTCCTGTAGGCTAGAGCTCTGGTGGCCTAGTGGCAAGAAGCTGCACTTCAATCCCAGAGATATGTGGTTCAAATCCACCAGATGCTCTGCTGGAAAAGGAGGAGCAATCTCCTGTACCAGGAGGATCCGATTTGACGGTACACACACACACAACACACAAAATAATAAAATAAATTTTAAAAAAATCTCCTCTAGGAACACCCTGGCTGAAACCTTCTAAAGGACATCTTTGAGGGTTGGTTTTTTTTCCTTTTAGCAGATCCAAAGGAGTTCATTCTTATTCAACCTTAGCCACAATCCAACTTTCAGATACAAAGTAAGCAATTAAAAAGACCTTGGCTTAAATCACATGTCAATCCTTAAACTGACAT